GGCGCCACTTGTCGCGAGCCGGCGACGCAGAGCACTGTCCAGCAGTGTCTCAAACCTGAAAGAGCAGCGGGGTGGAGATGGGGCAGAGAGAAAGGAAGGACGCCAAGACAAGAGTCTGATCAAGGCGGCGTTTATTGCCGGCAAGCACCGGCCTTTTAAAGCAAAAAACCACAAACTATTATGGGATGGTTTTACCATAGTAACTGAAAGGTCACACAGGAAAAGAGCAAACAGGTTCACCAAAACAACCCACCGTGAGTAGTAGCAACCCGGACAACCACACATCTAAAGGTCAGAGACAAGAAACTGTAACTTTCAGGAATTCCACAAAGGAAACACTCTACCTGCTAAACTGGAGAAACTTAACACATATGGAGTTACTAGAGTTAACAATACTTACAACCAATACTCATGATCCCCACAGTCGGAGACACAGGAATGAGAATGGTATCCTGGCATTAGAAGGGCTACAGTTACGTACTGTCCCCTCAGAATGGATGACAACCTCCTTTTCGGAGCCAGAGGTCAGTAGTTTTCTGCGAGTAGGAAGAGGATCATCTTTTGCCCCGGGGCGGCATTTGTGAGTAAACACAGGGATCCCGCAGCCCCAGTGAGTTGCTAGTCTTGTGCTGAGGATAAATGTTTGTATAAACCCCACATCCACAAGGACCCCACCCGCCCACGCGGTTCACACGAGTTCCGCAGAAACACAAACACCAACTGTGAGCCGGATGATGTGGGAAAGAGCAACACAGCGGCCTTGCCCCGCTGCAGTCTCAAGGGTACAGACAGTGAACAGACAAAAATGTGTAGTTGAAGTTGGCAAGCGCTCGGAGGAAAAGGACAGAAAACTGACAGAAAGCCACAGGAAATGAACCTAGTTTTGATCACAGAACACAGTGTGAATCACAGAATCAAAATTCTACTTTTTTTTTTTTTTAATACCAGGGATCGAACTCGGGACCTTGTGTTTGCTTGGCAGGCAGCAGAACCACTGAGGTAAATCCTCTGGCCCTTACAGAATCAGAATTCTAGGTTGGATCTCAGAGAAAACGACAGCTGTGTTGAATATTAAAGTATTATTAGGAGCTAGCCAGAGGGGCCAGCAGATTCTAGGCTCTGAGAAGGGAGAGGTTTGGTGAGTGCAGGGGCCAAGACCAGGCCCATGTGGCTGGAGCTCAGAGTGAGGGCAAGGGAGAGGGGGTCAGAATTTCCCAGGTGCATTTTACCCTCATTCGTGGTGAGTTCCTTTCCTCAGGGCGGTGTAACTAGGGTAAGTGGGTTCATAGTCAGTGTGGCTTTATCTGTGCAAACCTTGTGCTGCAGAGGTGTTGGATTGAAGATGGGAACCTCTGTAATGGCGTGGTGTTTGCTTCGACTAAAGAAACAGATCCTCTAGAGGACAGGCAAACAAAGGAGAGGAAAGGTGAGGAGTCTGGGAAAGGAGAATGAAAAGAGAGAGGGGAGCGAGGATGGAGACCAGGTCGGGGATGAGTCGGGTGTGGGTGTGGGCGTGGAAATGAAGAGACAAGGCTTCTTCCTGAGCGTTGTTGTTGCCGACAGGGCACGTGTTGCAATGTGGTACACTGGAAGCCTTTTGATTAACCCTATGAGAGAAGCACTGGGCATTTGTTTCTCGATCAATAGTTTCCAATCAGCCCATCGCCTGTTGGCCCACAGGTACTGGGAGAAAAGAGCAGTGTCCCTCAACAGCTGATCCGCCCGGGGCTGGAAGGAGTCTACAACCATTTGCTCAAGAAAAATTATTCGCCTGATAGCCGGGGACATCCTGCTAAAAGTGGTCCAGGAGCGACAGTTACTTGGTATCTGATGCGGGGGTAGAAACCTGCGGGTTCTGCACGGCCTGCCCCTTCCCAGAAGCCCCCGCGAGCATCGTCAGGCCCTGATTGGCTCTGAACAATGCACATGTGCTGATCGGTGCACCTACGGAAGCGACTTGGCCGGGGTACCCGGGCGACTTCCGGAGGGTATCACATGATACCCAGCGGCTGGGGTAGCACGTGACCTCCAGCGGACGCGAGACTGGCGAGGCTCCGCGGAACACCTCGGCCAACTGATACCTTAGCCTTAAGCATTCAGTATCTTCTTCTGAGTCCCTCTTAGTGGCCTGCTCACCGTTATTCCGTGTGTCAGGACGTACAGGTCATCCTGAGTCCTTAAATCCTTCCATTGAATTCGTTCTTCTAGAAAGTAATTTCTCCAAGCACAGTGTCTATAAGTCAGCCAGTCACCTGGTGCTTGCAGCACAATTCCAGGTGGAAGTTCAATTTTCAAGGAAATAGCCAGGGGTCGATACGGTGAGGAAGGGCCTGGCTGCAATACTCAGAACCTGAAACTAGGAGGTAAATCTGGAAAAGGAAATGATTATTTGGGGAGAGGAAAGTGATTGAAGACAATCAATGCACAGGCCGGGGCTTGGGGAAGGAAAGGTGACTTGAAGGATCGCTGCGTATTCTGCAGTAAAACCCCTGCAGGTTACAGGTGAGGAAGAGGAGGAGCAGCAGAGAGGACCAGGACTTTCACCAGAGTGTAAAAGCAGAGGGCTGGATCTTGAACCAGAACATCACTGGGAAGAGACGACAGTCGAAAATATTCACAATTCAAAAAGGACAGAAGTTGGTAGTGGTGATATTAATGATTATGAACACTTATTCAGGGCTTCTACTGTGTGGGGCTCCGGTCTGCGGATTTTACATACATTAGCTCATTTAATCTTCCCAAGGATCCTGCAAGATGGATACCGTTATGATCTACCCATTGTAGGTGTAGAAGCCAAGGCCCAGAGAGGGGACGTGACTTGCTCGCTGCTACACAGCTGGCAAGTGATGGAGCCAGGCTTGGAGTCAGGCAGGCTGACTGCAGAGCCGCAGTCCTGACTACTGCCCTTTGTACACCTTCCTGATTAGTACAGCTGGGAGGGTGGGCTGGGGCAGGGCAGAGAACACACATCCTGTGAAATGCTACAAGAAAATAGAGCATGTTAGGGGTGTATAAAATGCCATGAGACACAGTGTGTAAAAACAATAGCTCAAAGGATGGGAGAAATAGAAATATAGATTATAAAGGGTTTGTCCTCTCTATGTTAAGTAGCATGGTATTATGTGAAGGTGGATAGAATAATAACTTTAAGAGATATATTCCTGTAGCAACAACTTAGAAATTATCTAAAACTATAACTAATAGGCTAGTAGTGGAAATAAAATAGAATTATAAAAATACTCGCTGTATGCAGTATTAGAAAAGAAAGAAGAAAGCAGAAACAAAGAGTAGATGGAACAAATAAAAATTAGAAGGATGATAGATTTAAGGGTAACCATATAAATAATTGCACTATTAATAACATAAGCCTTCTAATTGAAAAGTAGAGGAAATTCCAAGTGTATGGTATTATGAGAGATCTAATTTCCATGTAAATCCTTAGGTAAGTTCAAAGTAAAAGAAAGGGCAAAAATATAAAAGCAAAATCCTAATTCAAAGAACGCTAAAGAGATCATGTTGCAATTAGACAAAATAGACTTCGAGTCATGAAGGATAGAAATAGCATGATAAGAGGTCAATTAATAGAGAACATACGAGTTGTACAAGAGTCTGAATATGGTTGCCTGTGATGAGATTGCTTCAGAATACATAAAACAAGAAGTAGTAAGTGACCACTAGTGGGTACTGAGTTCCTTTTTAGGGAGATGGAAATGTTCTAAAATTAGAGAGCGGTGACATATACACAACTCTGTAAATACTCTAAAAACCACTAAATTGCATACTTTAAGGAGGTGACTTTTTCTGGTGTCTGAATTATATCTCAAAAAAATCTATTTAAAAAACAGTGGCTCAGAGTCAGTTTCAGATGAAGAGAAATTCAGCAGCAATAACCTTGGGGTCATTGTTCACTGAGATTTAACCAAATCCCAACTTGCTTGGATATGGAGCCAGAATACACAGGCACAAGCACACACACCTTTATGTTCTCCATAACAGGTAGAGTCTGGGAATTCCCAAGTAACACTTTTCTTTTACAAACGAGCCAGGCATGGCAGTGCATCCATAATCCCAGTGACTCTGGATGTGGAGGCAGCAATATCACAAGTTAAAGGACAGTGTGAGCAGCTAAGACCCTATCTCAAAATAAAATAGAAAAATAGGAAAGCCTGGGGAATGTAGTTCAGTGGTACAAACTTAAATCCAGAGGCTCAAGACCTAGTACTGCTATATGCATACATACGTACGTACGTACATAAGTGCATACATTCTAATCGAAAGGAGAGCTAAGCACATCAGCTCCTCTCAGTAATTGATAGAGAAAGTAGATGAAAAATAAGTATGGCTATAAAACACTATTCTTTCCAGGTTTAGGGGTGCTGGGGTCTCCCTCTAGAGATGGTTTCTGGGTTCTTTCTGTCTTGAGCAAAAATTTGGTCAAGTGCAAACAGTAGCAAGGTTTTACATTTGCTAAAGAGGGGAAGAGAAAGAGGCTTTGCAGAGCTTGTCTGGACTTGGTAAAAGTAGGAGAATGTCAGCGTGCCCTACAGGATGTGAGCGGGCTACCGAGAAGAGACCCTGTAGGCAGAGCCCGACGATGGCCATCCTTGTTTGTCTCCCACTCCTGAGGCTGGTGTCAGGCCTCCGCCATCCTATCAGGCACCTGCTCGAGTCCTCCTGGGAAGTCCTCGTGCCCGGCTTTGGGAACTGTTCCGCACACGTGCCCTGGGATACTGTAATTAACAGGTTCTGCCTGCTTTCTCAGCTAGTCTTAGCCCCGGTGGAATCTCCTTCCTCACCAGCAACAAAATTGACCTAAGTGGCATTTATAAAATATCCTACCCAACAACAGTAGGAAACACATTATTTTCAATGACCTGTGGAAACTCATAGACCATATCCTTGTCATAAAAATTACTACAGTCAGCCAGGTGTGGTGGCACATGCCTGTCATCCCAGCACTCTGGAGGCTGAGGCAGGAGGATCGCTGTGGGTTCGAGTCCAGCCTGGGCTACACAGTGAGTTCCAGAACAGTTTCAACTACATAGTGGGGCCCTGTCTCAACAAACCAAACAAACAAACAAGTACCCAACAAATTTAAAAGAATGAGAATCATGTGAGATATGTTCTCTAGCCACATGGAATTAAGTTAGAAATTAATGACACATTTAGAAAATCACCAGATATTTTGATATTAAGCAATATATTTCTCAACAACTAGTGGATCAAATTAAAACACACACACACACACACACACACACACACACACTCTACACTAATTTCTTCAGAAATCCATAGCAGAGTACCACAGATTGAGTGGCGTAGAACAGAAATCGATCCCACAGCCTGGAGGTGGCTGGAAATCAGAAATGAAGGAATAGTCTTGTATCTATGACAGGAATTGTACTCAGAGTTGGAGATATTTCTGCCACTGGAACTCTAGGTCTGGGTGGCTTCCTCGATGGATTCCCCCAAACACTTCAGGAATAAGTATTTATAATATACAATTTCTTCATAACATAGAAAAAGAATAGTATATCCTTAATTATTTTACAAAGATTACAATTCTTTGATATAAAAATCAGCTGTAGGATTACAAGGAAGCCATCGACCAATGTCTTTTGTGTGTGTGTGGCCTTTGGGATTGAAACCAGGGCCTTTGCACTACATCACTGGGCTTTTTTATTTTTATTTTTAAATACTGAGACGAGGGCTTGCTAAGTTGCCTGCACTGGGCTCAAACTGGCCTCGGCCTCCCCAAGGGCTGGGACCAATATCCCTTTGATGATAGATACAGAAATGCTCAAAAAAATTAGCAAAATCCCAGAATATTTTTTCAATTCTTGTTTTGTATTAACACATACTTTCAGTACATAACGATTACATTCCTTGTGGGGAGTTGGTACACGTTCATAACACATTTTAATTCTTTTTTTTCATCTCCTTGACCTCCTATCCCTTCTTTTCCCTCCATATCTTGGTCCTGCTTTCCCTTTTGCAGAAGATCTATTTCCCTATTTCTTACTATCTCCCTTTTATTTCGCGCTTTATTTACATTTAGGGTTTCTCATACAAGAGAACCCACGTGATTACTTCACGTAACATTATAATCCCGTGGTGTATCGTTTTCCTACCAGTGATCATGTGGGTTTGCCACAGGACTACACGGTTGATTCAATATTTGAAAATCAATCTGTAATATAGCAAAGAAAAACTCTCTGAGTACCATTGTCTCAATAGAACCAGAGAAAGCATTTGATGAAATTCAACCTCCATTCATGATTTTTAAAAGAGAAGCCCAAGCAAACTCTAAAAAAGAGACATTTTAGGCAAGTAAACAGTATCTAAGAAAAAACTTCTTAATATCGGGAACAAGGCAAGGACGTATACAGGCACCTCTCAGCTTTGCATAGCAGACCCTCTCTAGGTCAGTAAGGCAAGGGGAAAAAACAGGCTGAAAAGGAAGAAACGAGACTGTCCTTATTTACAGACAGCATGGCTGTCTGTGTTGAAAATCCTGAAGAATTAGGAGCTGGGGCTTTAGCTCAGTGGTGCCGCCACCTGCCTCACGATTGCAAGCTCTGGAGTGGGATCCCTGGTACAGAAAAAAACAAGGAAGAAAGAGGGAGAGAAGGACAAGGAGGGGAAAGGGACAGGAGTGGGGAGGAAGTGGGAGAGAGAGAGAGAGAGAGAGACTCTTAAATTATTAGGTAAGATTATCGGTTGTCGACAGAGGTAGTCAGTACACAAACCCTAACCGGATGTCTGTATGCCATGGAGGGAAGTGGTGCTGGAAGCGTTCTGCATCTTGCTAGTGGTGCTGATCAAATGCACACATGCATCTTCCAACTCATGGGACTGCACACAAGAATGGATGCTGTTTTCTTGTTGCAAACTCTAATCTCAGTACAGATCAACTTTTTCCCTCAGCCCAGCCAACTCCCATTTGCTCTGCACTGACCAGAACTGTGTCACGTTGTCACCTCAAGTTGCAAACGTAGTCCAGGACCACCGCCCCCTTCGGTTCCTCCTGACCCTCTAGAGAGACCAGCAAGGGTGTCAGGCTGGAGCGCCCACTGGTCAGCCAGCAGCAAGCGAGCAGTGCTGGGCACAGCACGCAGGAGGAGCCCAGACTCCCGCATCCCAGCCCGGGACCAGTGCTTGTCACAAAACTGTGCTTGTTTATTTTCCCCAGCAAATACTTGTCATACTGGAACCCTTCTGAGCACTGAGAGGACACACAGGGACATTTAACGCAAGTCTGCCCGCAAAGAGAGGGTGCGGAGTGGATTTCCCAGCAAGCTCTTTCCTAAGTTTCCCAGCTAGTGCTCCACAAGGCCATGGGGACCGGGCTCCGGTGCTCCTGTTAGCAGTGCCCCCGAGTCTCTGGCTTTTACCACATCCCTATTTCAGGGAGGAGGAAGAAAGCAATGAGGAAAAGGTACTGGTGCTGATACTAGAAATGAACTTCCTAACACCTCCGGCAAGCAGCCTCTTGGTTTTAAGCAATCAGAGGCTTTCGGAATATTTGCTTGATGACCAAGTCTAGCAGAGGCAGGGATTTTAGTTCTCCATGGTTCGTGTGGTGGAAGAGAAGAGGTATATAACTAGGGAAAACCAAGATGTCAGTTACGGTATCCACATCGCCAGAGCAAGAAATCGAGTACGACAGCACAGCCGTTTTATTTGGAGAACATTTTCATAAGACATGGAATAATTTCTAATGTCTGTGGAGTCTCACAAGACCACTTTGTTCAAATTGTTCTTCCAAGGGCAGATTTATATTAACACAGACGAGAACAAGTCAGTCATGAATATTCATACAAAACTACTGCCGAGGAAAACACCGGTATTCTTATAAACATTCCCAGCTTTGCACGGTATCGAATTCAATTCCTTGAGCCATCTTCTAACACCCAACAAAATCTGTTGATTTACTGCTGCCGGGGAAAGAGCATCGTCAACTCTTTCTGAAATTGATTTACTTTATTATGAAAGCTTAGATTTTAAAACCAATTGGAATTTTATTAGCTAGTATCGTACGCAGGAAAAAATAAAAGTCCAATTGGGATGGCAAGGGGGAGCTGATTAGGTTTTTAATTTACTGTGTCACGTGACCACCCCTAGCTGTAAGAGGCCGGAAAAGAGAGATTGGGTTTAGAGATGTTTTTTTCAAACTTGGAACTCTGTTGCCTAAACAGATCTGCAATAATACAGAGCAAGCAGAAGGCGGGTACCAAGTCGGTCGGTCCTGAGACAGCGCCTTAGATGCCGA